AAATGAAGGCTAATTTTAATATATATATATATATATATATATATATACACCCACACATAATTTTATAAAATAGTATTTTATTTAATCTGAATTTAGTTAAATTGCAATGGTTTATGCATTATTGTGGTAATGAATTTATGTTGATGTTTATAAATAAATCATTGTATTACAGTATGTTTATATTATTTTTTTTAAATACTTAAAATGAGTAATTTTTTTGTATTATTTAAAAAAATATTTCAATTAAGTGTAAATATAATTAAAAATAATACTTTACAAATATTTTAAAAAGTATATTTAAATATATTAAAATATTTTGTTATTATTATATATTTTAATATATTTTATTAAAAAATATCGTATGTAATACACTAATGAGAATCTCAGGAGAAACACCATTGAAAATTAGTAATTACAAACAAACAAATAAAACATCCAGGCATATTAATTTGGGGAGAAATTTGTCTAATTTGTGTAAAAAAAATCGTAATTATCCTAAAGTAGCCTTCATTTTCTTTAGTCAAAATTTCTTTTCTTTTTTTAATAACAGGAAGAAATGTGAGTTTTTGGATGGTTTTAGTAATGCATGAATATTCTTTTTCGAAACACAAACTAACATGTAGATTTGATCTGATTTTGATCATAATTATTGGTGACCTGTTCTCCGCTTCTCCTTGTCCTCCCGTACAGCAACTGAAGCGACGAGTTGACGAGCGTCAGGCTAAACTCACCCAGGCCAAAGCCGAGTATCGGACCGCCCTTCGTAACCTGGAGACCATCTCAGATGAGATCCATGCACGGCGCCGACTGTCTGCCATGGGGCCCCGGGGCCGAGGCGTGGGGGCCGAAGATGACGGGACTGTCACCGATGACATCGCAAACTTCAAAATGGAGTCTGACGGCATATCGAGTAAGTGAGATCACACATTAATGCCAAGATTTGATTGTAATTCAGAGTGAAAGTCTCTCAGTTTGATTTAGCTTCAACCGTGCCTGTTTTAGACGGCATAAACAACATTTGAGCTAATACAGTGGCACAAAAAAGTGATTATGAACTTTATGAATGTATGAATTTGAATGCATCAGATAACAAAAGATCATATTTTCCCATGTTAAACCTAACACAATTCTATTTGTGCTATTTGCTTATTTTTTTCAGGGACACTGTATGTATTAAATCAGTATGTAATTAATTCAGTACTATTAATGATATGAACTTGTTTTTATAATGGATTAACTTTACACTGCTATTGAACCAAATCTGAATCAAAACTCATCTCACTTGAGCTGAATTATGAAACCACTTTAGAAGCAGAATTTGAATTAGTCTAATATTTGATCAAATTTGCATCACAGATTCTATTGTTTTACTTTGAATTAAAAGCAAAACATTATCAGCTTCATGTTCATCCCAAAATCAAAGAAAGAAAATTTAATTTTATATATTTAAAAATATTATATATGATAAAATATTTTATATTATAAAATATTAAATTATACATTATTTATATATAAAATATATTTATATATAAAATAATATATATTAATATTTTTAAATATTTTATCTAAAGAAAATTAAGGCTAGTTAAGATTTTTTGCATTGTGAATGATTATTTTCATGACAAATAAGAATTTGTTTCAACCTTTACTGTAATCTCATTCAATTCATTACTGTAATCTGAATTAAATCACATTTTAAATAAATTATTTAAATTGTAAATAATTGAAGTTCTATTGTACTAAATGTAATTTATTGATTTAAGTATACAAATCATTGTATTACAGTAATTTTTTGGATATTTTTGAAAATAATTTCATTAATTAGTTTTATTTATATTTAAACAATATTGAATATTACAATATTATAACATAATACAATATTTTTTAATACTGAACTCATAATTGTTCAACTTTACAGTTAATGAACCGAATCTGAACCAACACTGAAATTGAGCTGAATAATACAACTGTTGTCTTTTTTCGAGCTGCTTTACAGCAGAATTTGTCTCATTGCATCATTGATTCTGTTACTCTCTTGTTTAATGCTGTGAAGCTGCTTTGAAACAGCATCTACTGTTTAAAGCTCTATAGAAACGAATGTGATTTGACTTGACCTGTCTTCAACAGGAATTGTTTCCAGTCTCCATTCAACAGCATGAAGTTAAGTTGGAGACTAAATGCATTCTGTGTTTGTTGTTCAGTGATATCTGTGAATTTCGAGGACAGCTGTAACGGCTCACCATCAGAGGACGATCCTGAGACCCAGTCCACCTGCAGCATGAGCTCCACGTCTGCTCCTCTCGACCTGCCCTGTCCTTCCTCCTCCTCCTCCTCATATCCTCTGCTCTCTTCCTCCTGCCCGTACCCTTCCTCTTCCTCCTCGTCCCTCTCTGTCTGTCCTGACCTGCTCCAGCTGCCGGGCTCGGGGTCTCTGGAGAGTTTTGAGCAGGTGTCTCCGGTGCTGGGCCCTCGTAGTGAGTGCAGCGGGGCCTCGTCACCCGACTGTGAACAGGAAAGAGGTGAGAGACAAAAGACCTTGAACTATGAGAACTGTATGGAGTAATAAAGTTACAGGCCAACTAGCAAACTTTTTTTTTTTTTTTACTTTTACTCTTATCTTGTGAGTGTTCTTGGTTCAAATAAATTAAGGTCAATTGACAGAATGTGTGGCATAATGTTGATTTTCCACAAAAAATTAATTTACAGTGGTAGTAATTGGGGCTGATGTGTAAAGATATTATAGCTAATTTAAACCAAAACTAAATAAACTTTAATGAAATAAGAGAAAAAATGTTTTTTTTTTAAACTATTTATTTTAATTAGGCAACATTTGTAATTTTCCTTTAGAGTTAAAGTACTAAAATATCTGAAACTGAAATACAAAAGAATACTTTTAAAATGAACAAAAACTATATTAGCATATTTTATAGAAAAATGACAAAAACACAACAAAACTTTAACTAAAATGAAAATGGAAAACATAAAATATGAAAAATATGAGAATAAAATTAATTCAAAATATTAATAAAAACTGTAATAGTATGATACTAAAATAACTTTACCTTAAAAAATGTACTCGTAAATGTATTTTTTTTTGTAGTTTTACAACTTTGTTGACATAACAATATACTGCAAACCCTAACTGTAAAACAGATTAAGTAATACACAAATGTTTAATAAAATTAATTTCCATTAGAAGTGCTCCATAACCCTTTTTTCAGAAAATGACGGGAAAGAGTATTTTTTTTTAAAAATTTTATGGTAATCAACATTAAATCACGTATACTGTGTGTAATAATTTTAATACATTTTAAAGAATTTATTACATTTTTAAAGCTTTATGCATTCATATGATAACCACTGTTTTTGATGATAAATTTGTGTTAAATCATAAGGAAATCCAGAAAAATTAAAACGGACAACTCAGAATTTTTTTTTGGGAAAAAATACAATTCATGTCCAAATTTTTATTAAATTAGAAAATTGTTATTTATAAATTCAATTAATTAGACATGCTTTTGAATTTGATAAAACTTGATCAAATTTGATAAAAACCATTAAATTGGAATCCAGAACAATTCAAATGAAAAACATTAGTGTGTTTTGTGTTCTCTAACAGGTGAGAGGGCAGAAGGAGCAGAAGTTAAACCTGAACCTTCAAACAACATCAGCAGTCAGAAAAGCTCACACCTGGAGAAGAGTCTGCGCAGTTTATCGCTCCAAACCACAGACGACAACGACACAGACACTCATCCATTCAGTGTGACCTCAAACACAGCAGCAGTGCTGCTTCTCAACAGTGTTTAAACTCAGAAACCACCACCTGCTCCAACCAAACCTTCAGCGAAGGGGCCCGTATCTGAGACGACAGTATGATGCATCAAAGGAACCATTGTGAAACTGCTATCATCTCAGTGTTACAGAGAGCTCATCTCAGACTGGTTTGAACCCAGAAAAACCATGAAGTATTAGAATCGTCGTGCAGACATCAGCTATGAAGTGACTAGAACTATTGAACTATTCATCATCACTGAGTGGATGTTCTTCGTGTCTTGTTTTCTGTCCTTTGCGTCTCACTAGCTGATTCAAAACTGTTGCACCCTAAAGCTAATATCAGTTCATTTCTATTTATCACTAAAAAATGGATGATTTGCATTCGAGAGAAACTGAGGAGATTGTTAATACAGGGATGAAATCTAGCCACCTTTATCCAACAATCATCATTTGTGTTATTCATGTAGATCCGATACGGATTTTGAAAACTCTTGCTACTTTATACATCAGTACAAAACAGTGCTGAACTTTGAAAAAAAGCAATTTTTAAATGTTATAACAATGATGACTTTTTTGATGCGCAATGAGGAATTTATTCTGCAAATGTGTTCCATCCATTATTCACGTTAACCTTTTTCACACAAATCAAAAATCACCTCAAGTCAACGTAAAAACTTTTTTGTGAATTAAGTTTTTTTTCCCCCCGAAATTTGGCATTTCCATCACTCCTTTCTGATGCAATACTTCAAAATATGCATAAAAACAGAGTGATGGAAACATAGCTACTGAGTGATCCTCTGCCGCCATCTACTGGTTATATCAGTAATATCATATCATTTTCATTTGAAAAGTGCTTGTTTTCCACCAGGTGGCAGAAATCTTCCACTTAAGCATAGTATATTTTCTATGAATTAACTCCAAGCCAGTTTACATGGAAAGGTGATTTAAGGCTATAGCCCCAAATTGTCAGTCTTTTACCACAAAATAATTATGACCAAATGAAAATGGGCTTATTGGGACCACAAGAGCCCCTCAGCTTTTACAACTGTGCCCAGTCTGTGAGTACCATGCAGTGTTGGGGAAAGTTACTTTTAAAAGTAATGCATTACAATATTGCGTTACTCCCTAAAAAAGTAACTAATTACGCTACTTGGTTACTTTTTATGGGAAGTAATGTGTTACGTTACTTTTGCGTTACTTTCGCGTTACTTTTTAAATATGAGCAGGGCTTGATTGTTTTTAATATAAGAAGTTATATTTATAGCAAATGTAAAAGCCCTTAACACCAAAAACGGTAATGAATAAACCTCAGGCTGAAGGAAAAGTAAATTCACGTCTGTACAGTAGAACCACACAATTCCTCTGCACTTCTGATTTCTCCCAATATGGGAGACTTGTCAGTCAATAAATGGGAAAACAAAGTAACTGGCATTACTTTTTTTAAAAAGTAACTCAGATATTTTCTTGTAAATTAAAAAGTAATGCGTTACTTTACTAGTTACTTGAAAAAAGTAATCTGATTACGTAACTCGCATTACTTGTAATGCGTTACCCCCAACACTGGTACCATGTATCTATGGATACATAGATACATACTACATGATTCTTAGTTTTACACTAATATTTCAAAATAATGTCATGCAAAACAGTAAGAATATAATAAGTGTATGGCTGGATTTAACAAACATAACCATACCAGACTCCACTGGGTCGTGTCTTCTTTGTGATAAAAACTTATACCACAGGGTGTCAGCAAAGCACATTTTAGATTAATACTGACTGGCTCCATTATTGCAGGAAGACTTAAACATAAAAAATGATTTTGGCAATCACCAATACTGTAAGTTTTAGGCAGCTGTGGCACAAACCTTACAGATACAAAAAAAAGATACCTTAAAGACAAAAAAGATTAAACATTTGGTCTAATTTCATGGCAAGAACAGGTTAAAATCAGTTTTTAAAAACAGGTATATAAACAAATTATTAAACATATTAAAACTGAGATTAAAGACAGGTAAATGAAATTAAATTTTTTTACATTTTAAAATATGTTTTTAAGTAGCACTTCTAAACAAGTTCTAGAAGTTTTCCCATTGACACTTTACTAAACATGTCCTTTAGAGAACTTCAATAAAACCATTGTCTGATGACATTAAGCTAAAGGAATCATTCATCCAAATATGAACATTCTGTCATTATTGCCATGTTTAGGTGAACTGTTCAGTGTTAGTACAGATACCTGTGCACACAACCGAGTCTGTGGACTGAATCGATGGCCATCATCTCAGCCAGGTCTTCCCGGGATACAATCACCAAACTTACTCAGCAACGTCAGCAGATCTCCAGGCTAATCCATGAGCAGATACTGCAGAGCAGAAGAGGAGAGACACTCATAAACGAGAATCAACAGACAGCACTCTACATCTGACAAACACAAGATCACTGAATCATGAGTATGGAACACAACAAACTACAGAACTGAAACATGCGTCTACGAATAATTCTGAAAGAATCTTTTCAATTTCACCTGTTTTGTGTTCAAATGCTTCACCCGTTTGCTCTTTTTAAATTGATCATCACTCTATATAGACTAATAGAATCAGATACAACAATAATTTCTCAAATATTTATTACAGTATGCCGATAAATTTAACATTCACTTCAATGGTAAGGGATGACTGGATGCTTTCAACTTGATTCCTACTGAACTGTCATCAAGTGAATTTGAGTGTTCAACTATTTAAAATAAAGCTAATAAAACTTGATCATAATGCACAATGTTTCCATCTAACATGTATTTTGAGGTGCAGCTGGTCATATTAATGGAGTGTTTCACTAGCTCGCTCACCTGAATATGTTCGTAAATTTGTGTTGGATTTGTGTCTTCGACGTGGAAAGCTGTTATCTTCGAAATGGAAATATGTATATTTTATTTGTAAACATCATACTTTTTTCCATTTATTTCAGTTCATCTCATAAAACCAGCGAGCTAAGCCAGTACCCAGATAGCTAAATTCCTGAGGCCCAGATCAGGCCCACACCTGACACTTTCATCTGGCCCACATATCGCGTGGAATGATGGCAATTGGGTGGTCCTCTCCTGTTTGCCAGATTTGGGCCACGAGCAAGCCAAAAGAAGGCCCAATGTCAGCCATGAATAAACCAAATAAAGTAGAACTGGCCCAAATCTGGGCCACATTGATTTTAATTCTGGCCCAGACCCGGCCCACATCCAACACCTTACTCCAGCCCACATACTGTGAAGAAGACACTTGGGCGGTCTGCTCCTGTTTGCCAAATTTGGGCCACAAGCAAGCCATATGTAGGCTGCATGGCTGCCATGAAAATAAATCAATAAAATAAACCAGAACTGGCCCAAATCTGGGCCACATTTATTTTAATTCTGGCGTAGTTACAACGCTTGCTCCGGCCCACATACTGCTTGGAATAATGGCATTTGGGCAGTCCAGTTCTGTTTGCCAGAATTGGGTCTAAAGTAAGCCATAGCATTGTTGCATGTAAGCCAACCAAATAAACCAAAACTGACCCTAATGTGGGCCACCGTTGATTTTTATTCTAACCCTGGTCTTCCCCACATTCCTCATGTGGCCCACATGCTGCATGGAA